CTAGTGCCCAGGTGGAAGGAGTTGCTGTCACTAGGAGATGCTTCCACAGAAGCAGAAGAGCAGGTGTCCATGGGCCCAAAGATGCGGGAAGGAGGAGCTTATAGGAATTCTCAGAAAACTGAAAGCAGAGTGGTCACTGACACTGAAGATGAGGAAGGAGGCGAGGGCAAGTTGAGGAGACTAGAGATGTGGAATGGTCATTCAGGAGAGGGGCAAGCAAAGGCACCAGCATTATTGCCAGGTGCCATTAGGGGACCACTTAGCAGAGTGATCCGGTAAGGCAGTATCTCGATCTGTCTGTCTGAGTCCCACTTGATCCTAGGGTCACCTACCTGGAAAGCCGTTCAGTACTGATTCTTTTTCTGCTATTGGCCACATCAGGCCCTGACTCCCAAGTGTTTCTTTCTCATGGCCTCTACTCCTTACTTCCTATAGGCCAGGCCTGCCTGGTAGCCCTGAGATTAGAACACACAAAACCAGATAAATTAGACAAGACCCAAGCAGACAAGTTGCTCTGAGTGCCCAATATATGAAGGCTGTCTGCTGTGCAGTCTTTGCCGACAAAGGTTTTTCTCACTTCAGCTTATTAAGCCTAGCGAGCATTTGCCCTTACATTGTATGTCATAGTAACTTTTCCCTTTCCCCTTAATAAATTGTAGAACTTTAGAATCTCCTTTAATTTCTCAATATTTTAACAGGAAATGGCTGAAAAACCATTTGCCACACTTTCTTCTTTCAGAACAAAGAATCGGTTATGGAACATTTGGTCTCAAGAGCATTATTTCTTTCTAAAATTGTATCATAAGGACAAATGGTAGTAGTATTAGTTCCTTCCTTTCCGTTTCCAGTGCTTTCTTCTATTCCTTCTGGGTCTGTGTCTTTACTCTGCCTCTCGCTCACCTACGCACTAGATCTCACGTTCTGTTAATACTTCACCTCCAATGTCTGTTTAATTACTGGAAGTTTTACATCTTGGATCCTTCTCCTCTTCCCAATCACTTACCTCCCTTTTCCCTTTCTTAAACTTCATTTGAACAAAAATGTATTGAGCCCATACCTATCACATGATGCTAGGAATACAAAGATAAATAGGACAAGATTCTGTGCTTAACCTCCTCAACCCAGGACTGGATCTTCCCCATTTTTCCTCCAGCATGGTATTTCCACAGTTATCTTTACCAAGCTCAGCTTTTCCATTGTCACAGAATAAAATTCTGACTCACTGAAGGCCACCAAGGATACATCCCTTCCATCTGTCCTATGTCCAGCCAGTTTGAACCACTCATGGTTCTTCAAACTCAGGGCTCTACTCTTGCCTCTCATGGCCACACCTGCCTTTCAAGATTAGTTTATAGGTGTCCTCAGGAGAGTAAGTGCACACTCTTCTGAACTCTTCTGCCTTTTATGGCATGAGAGATGCCTTAGAGAGAGTTGTAACATCTGAGATCAGAGTAGCTGCCCAGGGTCACACCCCAGCTCTGCTGATGACTGCTGAATAGCCTTGCAAGTTGTGTAATCTCTCTGTGCCTCAGTTGCTACATGTGTAAAATGGGAATTTATAGTAGTACCTACCTCATAGAGTTTGGGGAAGTTAGTAAGCAAATATATGTGAAGCCCAGAACAGTGGTTAGTGTTGCTAATGAGAAGTGTCCACAGCCTCAGCCTTTGTTTATGCTGTATGAACACATACATCAGCCTTAGGTGTTACCTGTTGTAGTACAGTGTATTGAAAACAGGGTCTATATTTTGTTTCTATGTCTTAGAGAGTAACTTTAATTTCATAAATCATATTGGGTAGATTCATTTCATAATATACATACTATATGCCCAATATGCATTATAAAATTAATCTGTTGATTTATTATTTATAGTAAAAATCAGGTTGTAGTATATGACTTCCCACCCATACCTTTTCAGGAACCTTTACAACAGTGTCTTAAACATTCTCTTCTTCTCTATCCTCAGGAATGCTCTAGTTGTATAATAAATTAATAGCCAGGGCTGGGGTTGTGGCACAAGTGGTAGAGTGCTAACCTAGTATGTGTGTGGCACTGGGTTCAATTCTCAGTATCACATAAAAATAAAATAAAGATATTGTGTCCACTTAAAAAAACTAAAAAATAAATATTTTAAAAAATAATAGAAGAACTTCATGGTATTTGGTTATTTTGAACTTGTCCTTTCTTACAATACTAGTCAACAAAATAACATAAATAAATGTTCCTTTAAATTTCTGAACTATGGAATAAACTTACCACCCAGTTTTTTTCCTCCACTCTCCCTAAAGTAATTGCCTAATCTAAACTGATATCCAACATAGTTCCCTTTAATTGAGTCTAATTTTTAGAGAAATTGAGATCTCTAATAAAATTATCTCTCTCTACATAATAAAGAAAATAAAATTAAACTTTGATAAATTTATATGTGCATATCTTATGAGGATATATTTCTGGAAATATTTGATGGATATTTAACCTTTTAAAAAAAGTAGTAATTTTGTTAGAACCTAATTTGAAGCTGCATCATCAGCAACCTTCATTACTTTGATGACTGTTTTCAAGTGCCCACCATAGACCTACTGCTATTCTTAAAATATCATGGGAACATTGAGTTAGAATCCCTTTTCCAGCCAGTCTGTCTCCTGTGTGAGTCCCTGTATGTGGCCCACACCTTAACACTTCCAAACCTGTGCCCTCTTCTGTTTCTATGGCTTTGCATGCCCTCAGGAAAACCTAGAACTCCCTCTAACTGCTCCTTATCTGCCTGTGTACCCAGGCAATCTAGGCCTCAGATTTGTCCTCACCCCCTTAGACACTACCTGGCTTAGGTTTTTTTAGCAGTGGTCTCTTATCCAGGGCTGAGGGCACATGGTTTCATCTGCCTCCAGGCCACCCACACAAAGGAACCATGCAAATAGCAAATTCCCCTGTGTAAAATCCTCCAGTGGCTATTTCCATCAAATACACCCTTGATCCCAGCTTTGGTATTGCAGGGACCCTGATTCAACTGACGGTGGACTATTTGTATTTTGTATGACCACTGTGTTTTTGGAAAACCTATTGATATTGGAGAAACAGCTATTACAGAGTAACAATTTTAAATACATATATACATACTCATCATAATACCATCCATATTTATTTAAAAAATAGTGTAGACATAATGCTAGACACATTTGATGTAGAGATACTGACCACATGTGTATGATGTGCTGCCCCTTTGAAGTGACCCTTGGTGCCCCAGAGGTCCATCACTATTGCTTGGTTTCCATGGAACCAGCCTGTTTACTCCTTTCTCCTTTCGCTCAGATGTGCTCTGGTGTGGAGCAAAGGTGACATGGTTACTCTGAGCACCATCTGAAGGTTGGGAAACTTGAAGCTGGTCCTCCCTGCTGTGTTCTGTGTGGGTACTTTCCTTTTCCTTTATGAACTGTCTACTATCACTTTGGATTCCACATCCACCCCCCACACCAGCACCATTCACTACAGTTCCTTGTACTCCCTTTTTCTGTGTCAATCACTCCTATAGTTCAGTACCCTTTGTAGGGGTTGATACTGAGACTTGCTCAATTTTGAGCCCCCAGCCCCTGGCCTAGTGCCTGACATATGTAGGTTCAGCATATAAGGCAGTGAATGAATACATTGTGAGGACTAAATACATACATAGGGTACCTGTAAGACACTGAGAATAGCATGTGGCGTATAGTAAGTGCTCAGCTCATACTAGTGCACCCACACTGTGCCAGCTGCCATTCTGGGTGCTAGGGAAACAAAACCAGACAAGACACACACAGTCCTTACTTTCGTGAAGCTTGCATTCTGCTGACAGCAGAGAGATATAAATATTTACTCTTTCAGGGAATAATAAATACAATAAAGAAAAATAAAGCAGGATAAGGAATAGATGGCAGTAAAGTTGGTTTGGGAGTCCTAGCTTGCTTCCGTGTCACAAAGCAGAGAAGGCAGAGGGCAGCTTTGACACTGAGAGACAATAATCTGACCAGCACAGGTGGGAAGATGTTGTTAGACAAGTGCTGTGGGGAACCTTGGGGGGACAGGTGTTGTGGGGAACGGTCAGGAAAGGTGACCCAGGGCAGCCATCCAAGCAGAGGCCCAGTCTGAGGGGAGGCAGGAGCCTACTTAGTCCCCTGCTGCTCAGTATGTGGCCAGTGTGAAGTGCCTGAGGGGTGAGCCACAGGAAGCGAGGCTATGGGTAGGCATGGGATGACCAGGACTTGGCGTTTTGCCCTCAGTGAGAATTGGTGGCTAGCACCGACACATTTGTAAGGTCCCTTTAATTTGCTGTATTGTGATTCTGAATTTCATGTGGAGTCCAGAGTGTTGAATTGGACAGAGCAGCATCATCATTAGTAATGATGCTGCCACTCCTGCTCGGCTCTCACAACCATGAGCGCTGTAATAAAACTACCATATTTTGAGCTTCAAGCTGCTGTGTAACTAAAAGTGGCAATTTTAGGATGGTGTAATTTAATATCAAAGGAAATTATATTTTTTCTTGAAGCACCTTTGTTGTGAGTTGTGAAGACTGTTTGTTAACATCAAAGGACTGCATCCCAAACCAGTTTCTCACAGATATTTCAAGAACCCCAAATCCATTCCCTGTCCTATTCTCCAGGCAGTACCCAGGATGAACTGCCAGTCATTGGGTTGCACAAAGCCATTTTGGAGCCCCCAAATGTTCTAAAGTCAAGTCCTCTGTTCTTTCCAAGCCCCGCAGGCTTCTGCCTAAACCATCTGTCTCTCCCTCCCTTAACTGACCTGCAGTTGGGGCTATTTGGGAAGCTTTTTCTGCCTCACAGCCTTCATTTGCCACCCTCTAGGTCTTTCTCCCACTTCTCAGCCCAGCCGGTTCCTCCTTCTCCTCCAGGTCTCAGCCTTGGTGTCAGTGGATCAGGGAAGCTGTTCCCTTCCCCCTGCCCACACTCCCTTGGGTTGTCATTTGCTCCTGCCCTCTTATTTTCTTCCTCTGTCCTTATTTAGCCATATCATGTCTGAATATGGGAGGATGACAGATGCAGAACGTGACCAGAGAGACCAGGATGCTCAGATATTCATGAAGACCTGTTCAGAAGCAATCCAGCAACTCAGAACAGAAGGTAAAGTGCTCTGAAAGATGCAAACAGCCAACCACAGATGTGTCAAGTAGTTCAACAGGATTCATGAAGAGCAACCACCCACAGTCCCTCTTAAGTTCTTACTGAGAGTCAGAGTTTAAAACTTCAGAATATTTCCTGATCCATGTTTTAACAAACTAAGCCAGTCAGAATCACAAATAGGCCACCACTCAAGTTAAACAGATGGGAGGAAGGAGATGGATGGACCTCATCAAACAGAACCAGAAATTTACTAAGGGGCCAAGGTCAGAAAAGGCAAATTATATGTGTGCATACATGCGTGTGTGATGTCCACGAGTGCCTGCAGTGTGTGGCAGTTAGTGGGGCAGGTTGGCTGGCATGTGGATAATAAAGTAAGAAGGCAGCTTATGCTCCACCTGCCCTAGCAATAGTAAACTGGTGTCACTCTCTTGCAGTCAAGAGGAAGGATCTGAGCTGTTGCTGCTGAGAGAGGCATCCACACTCTGCCATATTTGATCTCTGTGGCCTGAGACAAGTCACTGAATCTTCCTGGGCCTGTTTCTTCCTCTGTAAAATGCAAGTGATTATAGAAAGTATATCAGCATTACTATGAAAACTGAGCTAGATTCCTAGAGCTGACCCTGGCACCAGAGGGCCATTGTCACCTCATTCTTGCCCAGTCTCATTCTGATTGAAGCACTGGGATGCCTTCCCAAGCTATGTGTCTTCCCCACATCTTTTAAAATGTGTTTAGACAGGTAGAGCACATGAAATGATCTAGCATTCCAAGTGTCCAGGTGCCATGTGTTCAAGACACAGACTTCTCCTGGGGAAGCTTCCATGAGAGCTGATGGGCCATCAAGAGAGTCTGGTGAAGCTGTAGACATTCTAGAAAACACAAAACACTGTGCAGTCTCACAGAATCCCTCAGTCCCTCTGGGATCTCAGCTCTGCAGCCCTACGTAAGGTTATACTCTTCACCTCTGCGTTTATTGAGATGCCTAGAAAGTGTATGTAAACATTAATAAAACCAGCCATTAAGTATCAAACCACAGAACCTGAGGCTCCTTTTGGCCTCCAAACCTGAGTTTCTTCATGTGAAAGTGGATATAATCAGAATTGCCACCTGGTCCCTTCAAAAGGTGGCTGTGTAGGATGTGAGCTCAGTGTCCGCATACAGCAGGCACTTGTCCCCTCCATGAGTGGTAGTTGTCTTACCAGACTAATGGGTACAGACTTCAATCTGCTAAGTCTATCAGACTTCTGTGTGGTAGTCCAAACAGGAAAGGAACCTCTGTGACTGGGCGTCATGGAAGGTTCCTAGAGTGGAGAGTTCACCTCAGTGTTGAGGGGTCCTGGGAGTGTGAGACTGGGAAGAGCTGGGGCTTTCCAAGCCAAAGCACAGTGCAGGCCCAGAGGGGGTGTTAGGACTTAGGCTTGATTTCAGCATGTTATTAAAGGTCAGCGTGGGTACTGATGCTGCCAGTACACATGGGGTCAGTCCTCAAGAAGGGACTGCATCAAGGACTGTCCCTGAGTGCTATAATAAACCATGAATTATTTGACTAGTTTTCCTCTGGCTTTAATCTTTTCATCTGGCAAAGCCTTATCTTACTGTTAAAAACAGTTTCACTTACATAAGGCTTGCTCTGTGGTTGTGTTTTTAAAAATACCTTTAATAAAGAAAGGGAATCTGATGCATTGTTTTTAGGCTCATTAAATACAGAAGCCTGAATGTTGTCTTTTCTGTTACAGCCCACAAGGAGATACATTCCCAGCAAGTGAAGGAGCACAGGACTGCTCTTCTGGATTTCATTCAAGATTACTTAAAAAGTATTTCATCTTCCCTTAAAGGTCAAATGTGGCCTTTCACAATAAATGAATTCAGAATTCAGCTTTGCTAGCTGAAGATGGTAGTGTCTCATTATATTTAATGATACCTTTGCCTGATAAGCCATTTTAAATGATCTCTGTTCTGCTATTTTCCTTTCAACAGGAGTGTGTAAACTTTACTCAGAACAGAGAGCCATTTGAGTTAAATTCGAGTGGTGGATAAGAAGACATTGTAAGTATGGCCTCTGTTGGTATTTCTCAGTTAATAATAATAATAATAATAATAATAATAATAGTGGTAACTCAAGTTCACAGAGCACTTCCTCTAGGATGTATATTGAGATTGAATTTCTTTATAAAGTGCCTTAGCTAGTGCCTACTGCGGGCTGTGTGCCAGGTGCTATGCTCACCTCTGTTGGCTCACAGATACTGTTACTCTCCTCAGCTGAGGCTGAGCAGGTTGGGCTACTCACCCATAGCCCCACAGTCTGGAGGTAGCTGAGCTGGGATTGATTTGAAATTTGTGCTCTTACCCAGTTTGCTTCTTAATTATTCTATGAAGCCATTTTACCCCAATCTCTGTCCCCCACATATTTCTTATTATCTTTGAAAGAGTTTTCCTGAGGGAGGAGCTTGGCACAATGACCAGTGCTTCATAAGGCCAGTGTGACCCATGTACTTGTGAGATGCCACATGCTCTGAGCACACACCTGTTTTCAAGCCCAGCACCCATTTCACACAGGCACTTTTCTGACTTGTCCAAGGCCACACGGCCAAGAAGTAGCAGACCAGGCACCAGTATTTCCTGTGGCACCTCTGTGTGCCTCTGTCCACCTTCCCATCTGGGTTCACACAGCCTCCTACAATGTTGGGCACAGTGCACAGTGGCAGCCATCTCAGCAGCCCAGCCCATCATGGAGACTGAAAAGCATCAGTGGGCTGGATGTGGTAATACATGCCTATAATCCCAGTGGCTAGGGAGACTGACACAAGAGGATCACAGGTTCAAATCCCATCTCAGAAACTTAGTAAGACTCTACCTCCAAAAAAAAAAAAAAGGCTGGGAATGTAGCTCAATGGTTGAACACCCAGGTTCAATCTCTGGTACAAAAAAAACAAACAAACAAATAAAACACCTCAGTGAGTACTGTGTCCATACTCTGAATCTTGAGCACTTCTCAACTAACTTTGGAAATATTCTAGAACATTATGAGAAGATAGCATGACATAATATTTTGGGACAGGTTCCCTTATATCATGTCAGGTGCCCCTGATAGTGCTCTCAGGTCCAGGACTTGGCCTCAGCTCTGCTCATGACTGGTTTCTCATATTGAACAGATACAGAGAGGAACATCAAAGGGGGGGCCTATGGGACAAAATCCTTATGAGACCAGAACACTTAGGAGCTCCCAGGACACTTTCTAGGGGAGTCACACAGCATGTGACTCGTGACAGTGGGTGAAGTGTGGTCTACCAGGGAAGCTCAGGAGTGACTCACAACCCAGGGATTTTACTGGCACCTGGTCACATGGCACCTTCTCTCTGGCCATATCAGAACTCCAGATGCCAGCAGGAAAGCAGGGTTGGGCATCACAGCCCTTCAGCTCACATTGTTTACACCCAGCTTAGTCACGGGGAGCTGCTCCTCTCAGCTAGATGGCACAACTCCCTGAAAGTCCAGGTTCTCAGATGCACCAAGAGCAAGCCTTGCAAGCAGGCCCTTCTAAGGATGGCAGTCTGAGGCCTTCCATGTGAGCTTTTCTCTGCACACTTGTTAAACAGATTTGAAACAGTAAATGCCAATGGGTAGAAGCATTTGGGGATGATAATAAGTAGATCAGGCAAGTTATCTGTCAGCAGATAGTTACTATTATATAATGTACCAAGAGGGTAATTTGAGAGAAGCAAAAAATAAAGTCGTTGTCCTCAGGGAACTTAGAGGCAGACTGGGCTGCTATAAAAACTTGAAAAATTAACCAACTTAATCAGGACATAATATTTTGGGACAGGTTTACTTATATCATGTCAGGTGTCCCTGATAGTGCTCTCAGGTCGGAATCAGTGAGGCCACCAGGAAGTCCAAAGAGAGAAGCGGCTTGGTGGAGGGTGAGCACAGAGCCCGGGGCCCCCAGTGGCCAGACAGCCTGTGCTAGAGTTCTGGCCACACTTGCCAGCTATGTGACTTGGAGTAGATTGCTTTATTTTTCTGTGCCTTAGTTTCCTTGCCTGTACCATGGAAGAATTAATAGTATCTATCTTCATAACTATAGTGTTGTGGGAAGAAGATGAGTGGATACATAAAATACTTGGAGTAATAAATGTTAACTTATCATCTACCATCAAGCACCTGCCATATGTCAGGCAGTACGTTAATTCATTTCCTTTAAGCCTTGCAACCACCTTATTAGTAAATATTAGTATCTCATTTTATAAATGAGGAAAAAGGGGCTCGGCAAATTTGAGTTTGCTGCCCACTGAACTGCACTCTGAACCTGAGTGATTGGGCACATTTTCAAGTAGTGGATCCATGTTGGCTTTGAAAATTCCAGGAAGCGGGCAGTCCAGGTTTGGGGAACCGGTGAGCAGAACGTCCCAGGCAGAGACCAGTTTGTCTAATCAGGTCCTGGGAAGCAGTTCAGACTCCGATGGCATGTGATGGACCCTGAAGGTGAGAAGGTGGCCACTAGACTCACACTGCTACCAAGGAGGAGCAGCAGATGTCACTGCACAATGCCAGGTGGAAACCCAACAGGTATAGGAGGAAAAGTAAGAGGCTTTTACTGCTTCCTCCTCCATCTGCCCTTGGCAGAGGTTTCAACTAAAATACACATTAAAATCAGTCAGATAAGAAATCCTCTGTAGACAGTGAAATGCAGCACCGTTTCCTGCCAGCTACCTGCCCTGCACCAGTTACTTTGCGCACAGACCTGGAGGGAAGTGGGGAGCTGTACATCCCTCCACAGTGTATTCCAGCCCTCTACTCCTGGCTCCTCACCTTGGGCAGTGGGCTCTGTCTGAAGGAGGTGGGCTCACTCCCTTGCTTGCTGTGTCTCACAGAGCCCGGACACAGCAGGCATTCAGAGCCACAGCAACTACACCCCAGCCTTGATTCTTAGGCAGTCCCCAGTGACACATGCTCGGCCAAGCCCTACCACAGTTTTGCCCTAAAGACACCTTGCTCTTTGAGGCTCTTGGGCCTTAACGCTTGCTGGTTTCTCCACCCAAGAATGCCTTTCATGTATGCTTATGTTCTGTTTCCCCCACCC